GTTCAAAATACCTTTCTTATTCTAAGTATATCTCTAAATGCAATAGTATATAAATTAATATATAAGATGTATTTAAAAATTACGGTATACCATGAAATATAAATTTATTTTAATATCATTACTTATTCAAAGATATATGCTAATAAAAAATTCTCACTATATTTAAAAATAAAAATGTATTTCATAATAAGAGTAAGTTCCAAAATCGGAGTGTATTTTATAATCCCTATTCATCTCAAAATAAATGTATATTCTAAATTTATTTTGAAATTAAAACGTGTTAAAATAAAAGTAAATTTGAAAATTTTTAATGCGTTTTAAAAATAAGATGTATCTATAATATCAAATAATAATTACAAAATTTTAAAGTATTTTCGGAGGAGGAAGATTATCAAAAAGTTGCTGATGAGAAGGAGGAGGGTAAGGGGGACGAGGATGATCATGAAGATGACGATAAGGAGGAGGAGGATGAAAGAGAATGATGAATAATGGCATTGATAAAGATGATGATGACGTGGGGGAAGCCAATGAGGATGGTGTTATGGAAAAGTATGAGGATGCTGATGAATAATAAAATATAACTATGATGACGAGGGAGAGGAGTATAACGAGGGGATCTAAATAAGTTTTACAATCAAAAATACTTTGAAATCATAATTAAATATAGCATCGGTGAAGGTTATTCAAGAATCATTCCTGCTTCTACTTTGAAATAAATTAAGACAAATAACAATCGGCTTTATTGCAGCCAGTCAAGGAATCATAGACCTTAAAAACAGACCAGCTATGGCTCAATGGGGTAGGAAATGGTAGCAATTTATCAGAAAATGCTGCTTGGTCCTGCTCAGTTGCAACTCGGATGGGACAAATGGGCCAGAGCCCCTAATTCATGAGCAAATATCTGCTTAAATTTCCTTAGTGTTTTGTTTAAATCGTCATTACAAAGTTTAGGATATGGTTGTTGTAAGTGCTCCAGCTCCTACTTTCAGGACGACTATAGGCATCTTCTATTGTACACCCTTCATAAGTGCCAGCATCCATCTCGGGGTAGCTTTGAAAAATGGCATATTTCAAAGAAGATTACATTTTTATAATGGGTCTTTCTGAGTCTGAAAATCAGTCCTTATGCTTTAACTAGCAAGTCTTCATTGTGATCTCATTGTTTCCTCATTGTGATGAGGATGGGAATATGGTGAGAATGAGGAGGGGTAGGAGGGAGAAGAATAAGTGCGGATGGCATTGATTAGGCTGAGGAGGAGGATGAATATGAATAAGAAGAATGAGTAATATTGGAATTGACGGTGATTAAGATGATGATAACGATTATGCTAAAGAGGGATAGGTGAAGGATAATGATGAAGATGGGTTCAGATGAGAATGCTTTTTTGACATTTCACTGAAAAACGAGCAAACAATCAAGAAGATTTTCCACCAGCCTGCTTAGAAAAACAAAAAAAGTAAACAACACCTTGATACAATCATTCGGAGGTGTGGTCAATCTGACTAAAACGAGTTGGGTAATCGTAATTTGTGTTTTAAAGTAGGCTTAATTATGAAAAAAAGGGATAAACCAAAGTAGAGTATCTTCATTATTATCTACCCACCATGCAGACCTAATTATTTTAATAAGCAACCAGGCGCATTCACACTCATGACTAGGCAGCTGGCTTGTCAATCACAACCTCACATTGTTAAATCACTTACAGGCAACTCACAACATATCCACAATTGGTTGTAAAAATTGAAGGATATAATAATCTAAAGAAGCCCCACGAAGTATTTTGTCAGGTCAATCCAGTATTTGCAGATTGACAATACACTTTCGATTATGGATAATAAATATGCTTGTCTGCCGACTGAGGAAGTTATCACCAATTAAACAATAATTACACGGACATCATTTTTCCTAAATTTGACTATTGCATTTCATACAGTCTTCATTCATTTATAAGCAAATTATTAATTGGACAGTTGCAAATGGCACACATTTCCTTGGGCTTATAAAATCTATTTGTGTCAGAGCCCGAGGTGGACTGTTAATATCGTCTTAGCACTATCTGCATCTGGGACGGTGAAAGTCAAAGGAAGAAGAAGAACTGACCACATCTGAGAACTCCCTTCAAAGCAAAAGGAGTTGAAGAAAGGTCTGAAGAAGCATTCACACAAACAATGAGTTTGTCCTCCTTCCATTCAGGACAGGTGTCCTGAAGGTAGTAGAATTTTCCCACAATGATATGAGTTGAGCTGACGTTTACATTGAATTTCACATAGCCTTGCTTTCTCAAAATTTGTTCTCATCCTGGCTGGAGTGGACTGCAGTTTCGACCTCGCATTGGTCTTATCAACACCCTCAGCGGGATTCGAACCGCGACAGTGCGGGACGGTAGCTTGACACGCTAACCACTCGGCTACACTGCCACGAGTACCCTTGAGTCACAGGGCATAAGTGAACTTCAAGGAGGGTCAGGCCTCTGCTATATCATATTCTTCGTGGTGGCCGATTAAAGCAAACGTATGTCGTGATATAGCAATCGACAACGTTACTTATATTCGTATGTAAGTAGGGAAGTGCCGATGAAGCAAACGTATGTTTGCTATAGCAATCGACAACGTTACTTATATTCGTAAATGAGTAGGTTTGAAAGAAGCAAACGTATGATTGCTATAGCAATCGACAACGTTACTTAAAATCGTAAGTAAGTAGGGTTTCGAGAGTACCCTTGAGTCACAGGAACCGCGACAGTGCGGGACGGTAGCTTGACACGCTAACCACTCGGCTACACTGCCACGAGTACCCTTGAGTCACAGGGCATAAGTGAACTTCAAGGAGGGTCAGGCCTCTGCTATATCATATTCTTCGTGGTGGCCGATTAAAGCAAACGTATGTCGTGATATAGCAATCGACAACGTTACTTATATTCGTATGTAAGTAGGGAAGTGCCGATGAAGCAAACGTATGTTTGCTATAGCAATCGACAACGTTACTTATATTCGTAAATGAGTAGGTTTGCGCCGATGGAGCAAACGTATGTTTGCTATTGCAATCGACAATGTTACTTATAGTCATAATTGAGTAGGGTTTCGAGACTGGAAGTCTCGAAACCCTACTCAATTATGACTATAAATATGTTCTATTCGAGTAAAATAATCTGGTATATTTTCGTTTTCTGTCACGACGAATCAACGATTGTTAATATTGGCAGGTCATTTGCATCGCACACAAATTCACCCAGACTTATTCACACAAATCTGGGCATTTTGATGTTGCTTGCAGGATTCCCTTGACGGATGGGCTAGATGGCATGGACACATTCAATAATTATTGACCTCGAAGAACAATCCTAAGCTTTAGGGGATATTTTTTATTTAGCTCATCATTCTAACACGTGAAAATAGAGTTATCAAAAAGAGGAGCAGATAATGAAGATGGTGCTGATAAGAAGGAAGAGAATGAGGTGCAAAAAAAGGAAAAAAGTTGGCGATTATGATAATATTGATGAAGGTAACGAGAGGGAAAATAACGATGAAGAGAAGAATGAGGAAGAGGATAAAAAGGGGGAAGAAGGATAAAAGAAAGGAAAAAATGAGGAATGATGGCAGTGATGATGTTGCTTAGGAGGAAGATGATCAGGAAGCTCCTGATAAGAAGGAGGAATATGATCTTAAAGAT